AAAGATCCAGCTCAACCTGACCCAGCATGACAAGTTTGCTCCAGTCCTGACACTTTGCTTTCACATGTCCAACATTGTCTAGTGGTCCTGTGCTTCACTGGTCCAACATGCCAACAGTCTCACACACAATGCACTCAGGAAGGGGCTCCGGCTGTGGATCCAGAGTGGCAAGAAGGACCTCAACATTTGCTTCGCATGCACAGCGGGTCGCCACCGCAGTGTGGCAGCTGCCATCATGTTTGGCTGGCTGATTCGTCGTGCTTTGGCTTGCAACTTAGGGGCAATATGTTTTAAGGGCTATTTTGTATGTGGGTGCTAATGCAGGGGTGGTGCAGCAGGAAAGCAACTGAAATGAGACTGCTCTCAGTTCATTTGCCTTCTCACGCACCACCCCTGCCATGTGATGACGTGCAAAGTGCATGTGCTTTAGCTGCTCCTGAGCTGCTTCTAAGCTGCGTTCCATTTCCCAGCATTTGCATTGCCTTCCCCTGAGATTTGCTAAGCTTTGACTCAACTGCGTTTCTCAATTGGTTCGCACATTTTGCCACGGGCTTCCAACTAGACCTCCACTATGTTAGCAGTGTTGTCACAACTCTTTCTCAACTGCTCCCAACTCTCTGTCCAATGTTCTCAGCATGTCCCAAGTGCGCCACAAGCTGGCTCTCAGCTATTTAGCAACAGTCTCAACTATTTCTCAACTGTGCCGCCAAATGTTTCTCAGCTGCGCCACCCACAGTTTGGAATCCCCTTGTTCTCAACTCTTTGTCAAATGTCCTCCGTTCTTTATTGGCTGTTCCCAACTATTTCTCAACTGTGTCTCAACTGTTTTTCACAGTTTCTCAACCTTTTTCCAACTGTTTGCCAAATGGCTTATCGACTGTTCTGGACTCTTTCCCAAATATCTCTCAACTACATTATCAAATGTTTACCAACTCTTTTCCAGCCGTGTCTCAACTCTCTCAACTACGTTGCCAACTGTGTCTCAGCTGTTCTTCAACCATGCCCGCAAATGTTTCCTAGATACCAACTTTTGGTGCTAATCACTGTTTCCCAGCTGCTTTTGTCATTCAAATTGTGGCCCAGTGCTACATGCTTTGAAGCAGCCATGAATGCTGAGGCCAAGGCATTAACTGCAAGGTCACTCACCTGGCCCAGCGCAAATGGTCGGGCTGCAAGGGCAAGTGCTGGGAATGCTGGGAGTGACTTTGGATCAATGGCTCATTGTGCAGCTTGTTGCCAGTCATTTGTGTGCCTGCCCTGCCCCCCCTCCCCCTCCCCTGCCAACTGAGGCACTTCGACGCCCCATCCCAGCAAGTGCAGCGGATTCTGTTGCAGATGTGGGAGAGTGGCTACACTGACGGCCAGTAAATTTCTGGCTTGAAGAGCTTGCCTTTGTACAGCCCATTGGTCCTATGCTCCAGGGATCCAGTGGTCCTGTGCTCCCTCCAAACACTAATCTGAGAACGCACCGATCCTGTTGAGAGGGGTGGGCAGAACCACGCACAATTTGCCGCCATGCTCATTTTGCAATATGCAAGCCACAAGCCCCAGGGCAAAACAGTGCCATGAGCCCCCTGCAGCTCTACATTTTGCAGAAGTTGTTTGCATCCTGAAGTTAAGATCTGCCAGGCTGACCTCGACTTGCTCCAAGGCGAGGGCGCAAGTGACTGGCCAGGCATTTCAAATACGGCAAGCAGGGTTTGCGCATTTGCCAACAAGCACATGACGCAGATCTTGCCACTGCTCAAACTTGCCAGGCTGGCCTCACATTTTGCCTCAGCTGCAGCTCATCCAGGCTGTGAGCCCAGCGTGTCAATTTCCATTCATTATTCCATGTGGTTGAGCAAATTTGCATGAAAGAACGCAAAGAAATTGGCATGCTGCCTGAGCATGTCTTTGTTTGCGTGAGGGTGTGGGGTGTTTTGCGCAAATAGGCCTGATTGAATATGTTACTAATACTGCCAATATTTACAAGTGTGTATGTGAAGCACATAGGCATTCATTGGTGAGTTGTAAAACTTATTTTTACCATGCTATTGAATTATGTCAAGTGTGCATGAAAATACTGTTTGAGTATGCAAAGTAGAGTGGTATAATGTTTGAACATGAACAGCATATCTACATCTACTGCAAGCTGTGGCAAGCCATGAGAAGTGTGAGAGCTGTTGGAACTATGACCACTGTGCAGGGATATGCAACAAGCACACCATGTGCAATGAGAACATATTTGCCATATGAGGCAGTGATTGAAGCTAGTTCCAAATTTCAATTTGCAAGAGCTGTTAGAATCATGGGGAATGTAAGAAGTGCAAGATATGAGAAGTGCAAAACATGAGACATGTTGGGAACTGCCAACAAATACCATGAAACTTTGCAAAACCACATGATTGCACTTGGTGGAGCAAAAGTGCTGAAAGTTACCCATGAAAAGCTATGCAGCCACATGAGAGAAGACATACACAACTAGGTGACGCAGGCAACTTGAATGCGAGTGAGAAGCCATTCTTGCTAAAGGTTAGAGCTCATGGAAGTAGGTGGGTGTCACATGCAACTACAGGGTTACATGTGGCAGCGCAACAAATGATGTTATGACCACAGTGCCCAAGGCAATTGACAGAACTCAGGCAGGGACTAGTGGTGCTGTGGTGGTGGCTGGCTGGCCTGACAAGACTGATTAAGAAGGGGTGGCTGTTGAGAAATTGCTGGGAACATTGTTGATGCAAAATGTTGAGAACATGTTGAGAAAATGTTGAGCAACTGTTGAGAAGCTGTTGAGAAACTGTTGAGAAACTGTTGAACATGTTGGGAGATGGCTGATAACGTGTTGCGAAACTGTCGAGAACACATAACAAGTTGTTGAGACCACATGAGTAATCTCAACTATTGAGAAACTGCTCCCACACAACAAGCTCCATGCAATTTTTGGCCTGTGCAGCAGGCCAAGGAAAAGACAGGGGGGTTCTTGCAACTGTGCTGGTCCCACTGGCACACTGCACCAAATGTCCCTTCCCCAAACCCATATGTGAGCACACCAGGGCAGACTCAAGCTCCTAGGGGTGCGTTTGGAAGGACGGGCAATGCGTGTGCAAGGATGGGGGGTACTACTCCAAGACATTGGTCGCACCCCAGTTGCTGCAATAATGTGATAAGGAGTCATTGACACAAGGCTAAGGATTGTTGTTGAAGCAAGGTCAGCTAGGAACGCGTTTCTTCCCTTATCTTTTCGCATCGCGCGTTGCTCTCCACCCACGCGCACGTGCTCTGATAGAGCAGGGCCTGCAGAGGGAGCTTGTCAGTCGCCGTCAGCCTCGCGTCTTGTTTGTGGCTTCACGTCTTGTTTCTCGCGCGCATTGCGAATTGCCCTTGCACCCTTTCACTGCACACACGCAATCTGGCCCTCACTGATCAGCTGAGGCAGAGGCTCTCCAGCTGATCTCCGTCCCTTGCCTGGCCCAGCACTGCGGTGCAGGCTGCAAGAGAGCTTGCAGAGCCTGCTGATGTTGCATTGCATGCTTGCAGCCTTTGGTTCTGTAAGTGGCTCCAATGCAACAATGTTTATGAGGAACAAGTTGCCCTGCAAGTCAGCACAGCAATGGCAAACTGCATCTGCACGCACATGTAAATTGCCGGGCAGGCCGCAGATGTGGGCTGAGCTGCCATTGCACTGGCGCTGGCCCGCAGCGTCCAGCTGTGGCCCAGTGCAGGTATGTGGAAGCCTTGCCTGTGCCTGAAGCCTTGCCCAAATGCAAGGATGAAAGTCTGTGGCCAACCATGTTCCATGTGGCGTAAATTTGCACACAGAATGAAGCATGCAAGAACAGATGTAGCAGGTGTGTTTGTGCATTTGTGTGGTTTGATGCAACCAATGAAATGCATAGGGGAACACACCACAGCTACTGCTTGATACTGGCACTGGCCCACAGTGCCTGGCTGTGGCATAAAACATGTATATGGGGCATTTGTTTGCTACAGCCTTGTGTTGGCACAGTTCCTACAACACTACCCTCATGCATGCACGAACATGAGGACAAGGGTTTGTGCATGCTTCAACACATGTTGATGCTAACCACGTGGCATGTGGTGCAAATACCCATGTAGCATGACGCATGTAAGAACAGTTTGTAGCGTGTTTTGCTCATGCATTTCTTTGGTTTGCTGCAAACCAATGAAATGCATGGGCCAAACAGACTGCAGCTACTGCCTGATGCTGGCACTGGCCCACAGCGCCTGGCTGTGGCATGACATGTGTATGCACTACAGCTTTGTGTTAGCACAGTTTCTACAACATTACCCTCATGCATGCACGAACATGAGGACAAGGGTTTGCGCATGCTTCAACACATGTTGATGCTAGCCACGTGGCATGTGGTGCAAATACCCATGCAACATGACGCATGTAAGAACAGTTTGTAGTGTGTTTTGCTCATGCATTTCTTTGGTTTGCTGCAAACCAATGAAATGCATGGGCCAACAGACTGCAGCTACTGCCTGATGCTGGCACTGGCCCACAGTGCCTGGCTGTGGCATGACCTGTGTATGCACTACGCTTTGTGTTAGCACAATTCCTGCAACATTACCCTCATGCATACACAAACATGAGGACAAAGGTTTGTGCATGCTTCAACACATGTTGATGCTATCCATGTGGCATGTGGTGCAATTACCATGTAGCATGACGCATGTAAGAACAGATTGTAGTGTGTTTTGCTCATGCATTTCTTTGGTTTGCTGCAAACCAATGAAATGCATAGGCCAAACAGACTACAGCCACTGCTTGATACTGGCGCTGGCCCCCCAATGCATGGCTGTGGCATAACATGTATATGGAATATCGATGCAGCCATGTACTGGCAGAATTCCCGAAACCTTGCCTGCATGGCCCAAAATTAGAATACCACTTGCTTATGCATAGTATACCACTTCCAATGCAGATGGTTTGGTGGATCTTTTGTGTGCAAAGCGAAATCCACTGAACAACTGGGTTGCTTCATGATGCCAGCCTTGTCCAGCAGCTGCTCATCTGATCGATTCCCCACCACCCTCTGATGAAGGGGATGAGTCTGAGGTTCCGGAGACGGCTCTGCGGGCTCGATGCTTTTGCCGCTCCAACGTGAGTTGCCTGACGAGGCCGAGAATAGGAGCAGGCAGGCTTGCAGCAAGCAGGTCTTCACGTCGAATTGGCACAATGCCAAACTTGCTCTTTGCCGTGGCAAAAGCCCAAGCTTTTTCCCCCCCTCGCCCCCCATCCGCAAGACCTTCTTCGCAGGGAGTCTTCGAAGGGTTCCGAAAGCCTTCCTGAGGGATAGGGATGTAGGGATATGGGTAATGTCTCGCCTTGTTGCAGCTTCACAACCGTCTGAGTCAGCCATTGTTTGGAGATGCAACGCCGGTGTCCTGCCTGGTGGTTGTGGGCAGCTTGTTGGTGCTGGGGTGACGTTGCACCTAAGTTAACTGAGGACAGTTGCCAAGCAACCAAAAAGCAGCCACAGTTCAAAACAGCCTGAGCTAGAGAACAGAAAGTGAGCATGCAACATCCATCTCTGCCAAAGGCTGATCCTCCGGTGATTGGAACCAGCATAATAGTCCTTTAGTTGATGAATAGATGGGTGTCCCATTTCGAGAAACCAAAACAGAAAAAGGAAAAAAAACACTTTGTGGGGAAGCAACCGAGATAATCTAGGATGGGCATTACTTCTGAAGACTCAAACATTCTCGAAAGCTGTGCCAAATGCGTTGAGCAGCGAATTCAGGTTCACCTGGATGGAAGCCCCGCGTTTGACCGGAATGGGGTGGGATCGCACTTTGATGACCTCAGCACGAGCTCAAGATTGCTGCAGGCATTTTAAGAATTCTGGAAGGCTCACACTTCGGCCAATCACGGCATGATGTGTCTTTGAGCTAGTACCCTTTGAATGGTGGCTAAAAAGGGTCCCCCAGGGAACCACCCCCGCCTTAGGGAGATGTCTCATTGAGAGACACATCCGTCGTTGAAAAAGACCCTAGAACAGGACGCTCAAAGTCCCGGGCTTTGACCAGTGAAGAAATGAGGCCTGAGCTGCTCTGTGTTTGTTTGGAAAGGACTCCAACGATTGGCTTTTTGGCTTGAAACATGGCAAATAGGATGACGGCCCCTGCTTTCTCCAAATAAGAAATGGGCCCCCGTGCTTTTTTGATTCCCCTTCAAAACAACGCCGCAAGGGAGCCTTCTTTCTAACAACCCTTGACAGGCGCTACATATCCAAAATTTTGCGCGCCCCGGCCTTGGCCCTTAAGGTGTTCCAAATCTCTTCTGTCCGCTTCCATGATTGCTGCAAGATGGTACCGGACTCTCACGACCAACCAAATGCCCTCAAAATTTGACGCTCGCCCAAACAATGTCGAGTCATTACTCCCCTGTCGGGTAATTGGTTTAATGGTTCAAATGCATGGGTCAAAAATAGGCACCCTAAATGGAGCCCTGGTAAATGGAACCAAGGACTAAAACCTGCGGTCCCCTGGTGGTCTAATTTTGACCCATACCCAAATGGTTCCTGGCACCCTTGGGGACCCAGCTAAAAGGAAGCTCGAAGAGGACACCACAGCCCCTCCCAAAGAAGCTTGGCATCGTGTTGGTTGCTGTTGAGCCCCCTGCAAAAAGTTTAACTTTTGGGAGAGTGGAAAACACATTTATTTCCCAAAGAGTCAAGTCTAAAGACCCAACCCAACAGCAGTCGAGTCGTTTGGCCCTCGATCCACTTCCAAGGCTCCTCCTCCTTGGTCGTCCAATTGCAGTGCAGCTTCCCATCGGCATCCACCTCCGAGTGAGCCGAAAGGAACCTGCCAGGAGGGGTGAACTTGAATTGACACCTTGGACATCATTTACATTTGGGTGTCTCCTTTTTTTAAGGGGCCCCGCCCACACAAAAAAGAGAGACAAGTACCCTGCAGAAACAACACAACCATGTCTGACCCTTCTCAAGGGTATTCCCCATTTCGAGTCATGACCAGGACCGAAAAGTTGGTGCACTGTTTTTGATAGTACTCTCTTTTGGGTTGTCTTGATAGCAGCAAACGGAAACCCATTGAAGTTTGGTTCTTACCAATCTCGTCATAAGGGCTTTAGCCAGTTTAGTCGCCGACTAAACCAGGGGAGGGGAATCCTTTACATATGTGGCGTGATCGTCCAAGCACATCCGAGAGCCTACCAAATGCACAGAATTCTGCTTCAATATCAAATGTGAACACTGCACATGGCTCAGACAAGCCGCATCTTGTCTGCAGGGTGATCCCCTCCACTCGCTTCACTCTGCATGATGCGAGCACAGGACAGCAGCACTTCGTAGAAGTAAGCGAATGACCTTAGTTTACCGGTTGTGTGCACGCGCAAACCCCTTCGCCCATAGTCATGGTAGATATTTTCAAGGGGCATCGGAATTGGTGAGTAACCACCAGTTCCTAGTGGTAGTTTGGGCCTGCATGCCCCATGTTGTCCCCTTCACTACAGTAGATTCGGCAAATATTGACCATGGCTTTAGGTCAGGCAATCTCACTAATTTTCCCACAAAAATAACAGGGACTCGCCAATCTAGCCACGTGCTTTCAGGGAATTTTGACCATGGCTCAGGGTCACGGAAGCCCCGGATGAATAAACCTGCGTCCTATTCACTCCCTGCAAGAGTGATGAATCCCCACTAAAAAAAGGACACTCCCCCCCCCCCATCAAGTGGATTCATCCGGGTTCCATCAAAAAGACCACTTGAGCCGATGCGGCTCATACTTGCTGCCATCGACGAGGCCTTCCATGCCCGTCTCCAGGAAGCTTGCCGCAGACGAAGGGAAGTCCGGCTCCTTCATCGCCTGGCACCGGAGCACCGGAGTCGGCGGGCAGGGAACGCCTTGGGTGGTACAGGGAAGAAGACAAAGGGGCTGCTCAACCCCCTAGTCGGATGGATTTCAGGGAAACCAAACGCAGAAGCCAAACACCTGAGGGAGTACCCACCTAAATTTGAGAAACTCCCATGTAAAGCATCTGGACTGTCGCAGCAACCGAAAAACTCATTGCTTCAGCCTCGCGCTTTGCTGGAAAAACTGCCTTACAAGCGAATTTTGAGAATGTTTGTGAAATTGGGCCTCACCACATGACTGACATGCATGTGCCTCGAGGGCATGCGTTTGGCGTTCTGCGTGTTACCTGATTGTTCTCCAAAAAGTGCAGTTCAAAAGTTGACCGGCCGACGCCCTTCATTCCCCAGTCGCACCCAGGGAACATTTGCTCTTCCCTTTTTCAGCCTAGCTTTCCATGTTTCTCTGTACGAGTGCAAGTGGTTGACAAAGCGACTAGCAATATGATCCTCGCCTTTCCACTCGCACCGAAAAAGTAAGTTCCTTCGGGGGGATAGCTTGATGCAATTTGTCTACATCGAAACAACAAACTGTTCTTCGACCATATTTTCGACCTTTTTGATGGCCATTGACCTACATCGATGCTATTGACCTATTTTGATGCATCCCGCCATTTTCGACCTCAGCACCGGTGCAATTTGATGGCTGGGACCCCCGGCCACAAATCGGGGGTCCCGCGCCGCGACGATGCCCGCGGTGTTGCAGGCCAGGGCCTTGTCGTGGCCCTTCCGGAACCGAGCCTGAAGCCCCAATCCTGCCGGTTGGTCAACATCAAAATCGGGTTGGTTTCGACCAAAGGTGGACAAAGGCGTAAGAATACTCAGATTTACACTCATAGTTTGCCCTCGTATCGGTAATGAAAGCTAGAGACCCCCCTTTTGACAGAAAGCAGAAAGGAAACCACATTTTTTGGGGCCCGAGTGTTGGCCAGCAGAGCTACCCTATAGTAAAGAATGAAACGGGTGTCTTTGCGCACCTTGTTCTGCTTGGGATTACCCACTAACCTTCATCTATCCGATGAAAGGGCATGGATTTGAAAGGCACTTGAAACTTGAGAGAAAAAGCCCCCAACTTGTCATGATTCCACAAAAAGGATCTTTCCAGTACAGGATAACCTGGTGGTGCTCTCCTTTCTCCAAAAAAAACTCCCAATTGGATTTGAGGCTCGTCTGTTTGTAGAACTTGCTGGTATCATCCCCTTCTGGGGAGCGGACGGGGTTTAGCTCCCCCAACCAGTTGTCTAGTCTTGACCAAAAAAGAGTTATTTTGCCATGGAATCGAGCCGAAAAGCCCCCAATCGGCCATGTCAAGAAAAGGAAAAGGCTTTGATCCTACTCACCGGCCACCACACGGAGGCTCTGTTGAAATAGCCCAAATCCAAGAAGGTGATGTTTAACACGACCCTTTACCTTTCAACTTGACGTCCTCCAGTTTACCCTCTAGTGGTTAAAAGGGGTTCCAACCTCTTTGACATAATTTTCCAAATCCCTCGAAATGTTCACCTTAAGGATCAAACCGGGTTCCTTAAAGGGTACATCCCAAAACCACCTGCCAGTGTCCTTAGGGAAAGCCAGTTTCATGGCAATCGGGGAACACATCCTGGGTGCATTTTCCTCGCCTTGCTCCTCCACTCGCTTGTGCATGTCCTGAGGTTGTACCGGACGAAAAAAAACAACGCCGCGAGCGGCTTTCCTCCTTTGAGCAAACAAGACCTCTGATATGTTTGTATTAAATCAAATTGGGGCAACCAAGTAAACAGTTCGATGTGGGGGTTCCCAAAATCCTATTTTGTGGACCCATGCAGCTGTCAAACATAGGGGCCTTTTTTGGGATGGTCTAAGGAAACCAACCACTCTTGTTTGGACGTAGCCAATTTGAAGCAAGGCAAATGTCAACCCTTCGGACCCAGGCCCGCTCAAATCCGAAACCAGCACGTGAAGCAAAGCAACTACGAAGTCTGGAACCATTGGATAGTTGATAGACAAGGTTGCTTGCTTGCTTTCTTGCTTGCATGGCTTGCCAAGATTCTGTGTTCAGCTTTTTCAGCTCTTCCCGGACATACTGTTCAGCCGCTGTCATGAAGCCGCTTTCCAGGTGCACATCCTCGCACACGAGCCGCGAGCGCATGGCAAACGTCGCTTGACGTTGCTCCAAAGACCCGTGACACCTACTGGATTTTGGACTGCGTATATTGGGTCAAACATAATTTATGAATTTAGTGTCGGGTTGGTATAGGGTAAAGGGCAAAGAAAGGAAATGCCCATTTTCTAGCTGTGTGCTTCATCCTAGAGACTCGGATGAGCAGCAACATGTGCCCCACATGCAATTCGCTGCTTCATCTGTTGTTGTTTTCCTCTCTCTCTCTCTCTCTCTCACCGCACATTAAATGGATTCTGTCAACATCCCGGCTTCACCACATCAAGGCGCATTTTACGTGCGACAAAACATGCTACCCTCCCAGCAAGCGCCTGGAAGACACTACAGTTCCTCCTAAAGACTATCAGATTCCTTGCCAATCAGGGATGCTTTTGTTTCCTTGAAGACCACTCCAATTCCAGGCAACTCATTGGAAAACACCGGGCCTTCAAATGTTTGAAAGCACCAAGGGAACAAGAATCAATGGTGGCAGGGTACAAAGCCTCAAAATGGGATATGGAACCAACCAGAATGGTGAGTTGCCCTTGAAGATTGCCCAACCGCAAGCTTTCAAACAACAAGCCCGTTCAAAAGACAGTTAGAAGCTCTTTAACCCTGAAACAAAGTGAAACGACGATTGGTTTGCTGGCCGCTCACAAAATGTCTTTCATTTTGCCTTCTCAAACCAACCCGAAAATACACTCACGCATGATTCTCCCACATCTACTACTAGTTATGTTTCTACTTTCTTCCACCACCACCACCAGCACCACCAGCACCACCACCACCACCACCACCACCACCACCACCACCACCACCACCCCCACCACCACCACCACCACCACCACCACCACCACCACCACCACCACCACTACACCTGCGGCTCTGGCTGCTGCTCTTATACGCTGCACAACTGCCCGCCCTTGGGCCTTCAGAAAGCCACCGATGGCGCCACCAATATCAGACCGCGATTTCTGAGCGGAGGCAATGCAGATCCTCAGCCGTCAAGCTCCGCCAACATGAGCATCCCAATGACGACCCTCGCTTGACTTCCACCCGCACGGTTTCGCGCGCGCGCACACGGTGGGTGTTTCAAAAGATTTCGACCCATCGCCGTGCCGCAACAATATCCTGAGGTCTCCGACAAAAATACAAATCGAGTCAATCACTACAAACCCGGTGTTCGGAAGCCAAGGACATATTTCGGGGCGGAAACTTGATATCCACACCCATTGATGGGAGTGTCTCCAATATGGTTTCCAGCACCCTCCGGCCCCAAACTGTCGGCCTTCGACAAATTGCTGAGAGGCTCTGCATGTGCTTCCAAGCAAGCAAGCTCACCACATCCACCAGGGGGTGAAAAGACTGCTCTAAGACCCTCTCCACAAACTTCAGGATCACTTTGTTCCCCGAGTCCTGAAGGCCAGCCAGGGTTATGCCAAGTCCCCCCTTCTTGTGACAAGTTTGGCACACCTTCCACAGCAGACCAAAAACTTTTAGGAAGGAAGTCCATAGATTTGTCCAGGCTCGACGAAAAAAACAGGACAACCCTTCGCCAAGCTGAAATCTGGCGGCAGGGATAATAAAGTGGTTGTCCTTGCGAGCACCCTTGTGGGCTTGGTTTGAAGGGGAGTCAAACAAATAATCCCAAACCTTGAGGCAAATCTCCTGCGAGTGCTCCGACATGACGTTCCGGATGAACTTCTCGTCGAACTCCATCAGGGCGTGCTGAAACACCCGGCAGAGGCATACCAAAAAGGCCATGTCCAAGACGCGACAAATGGCTGCCTTGCCCAGCAGTGGCTCATACCTAGCATGCAAGGCGTCCGTGGGCTTCCACCTGAAATTGGTCCAGATGTTTAAATCGACTCGGAAATGGAAATCTAGGGACCTGTTCAACTTGCAAAAGGTCTTGATTCATCAGATTTTGCCAAGGTGTTCGCTACGTTTCGCTGAAGGACATTTGCACACAAATGGCTGGGGAAACAGAGTCACAATCAAAACCTGGTAAAGCAGTTTACCCACGAACACCCTGGCGACGGTCTATTGAAGGTTAGGCCTCTCGGTCTAGCGCTCGCTGCCCGAGCTCGACGATGTTTTCTTGGGGTCAAGACCTGCACGCAAATGTTTTGGACTAGGAGGAGGGGTGCCGGTCGGGTCGGGTACCCCGAGCCGACGACGGGTCAGCAACCCCGAGAAGGTCGAAATGAATACCCGCAAGTTTCCGGAAACATGTGTTCAGGAAGCTTAATAGTTGTTTTCCAGAAGCATGCTGGCTTCAGGAAACTAATTTTGCTTCTTAGCTATAAATTTCGCGAAAGGCTACCTCTGAAAGGGTTGTTGCCGAATTTGTGATACCACCCAGTCTTTCCCGCAACCATTTCCTGACACCGCCACACCTTTCCTGAAACCACCGGCCAGTTTTTCATGAAACACCCCAGCCTTTCCTGATACCACACAACCCTTCCTAAAACCACCCAGCCTTTCCTGAAACCGCCACCCAGCCTGCAACCACACAGCCACACAGCCTTTCCTGAAACCCCGCCTACCCTGAAACCAAACAGCCTCGCCGGAAACCACACAGTCTTCCTGAAACCACCCGGCACCTCCTGAAACCTCAAAGCCTCTCCTGAAACCACCAACCAATCTTTCATGAACCCCCCCCCCCCAACGTTGCCTGAAACCACGCAGCCTTTCCTAAAACAACCCAGTCTTCTTAAAACCACCCGGCACCTCCTGAAACCACCCGGCCTTTCCTGATTGGGCTTCCCGTACTTCCCAACATCATGGGGGGGGCCGCCGCCCCCCCGACCCCGCGCTGTGTTTTTAGATTAAGCGTACCTTTGATTGAATCATCACCCTTCCCAACATCCCCTTCCCAACATCATGGGGGGCGGCAGCCCCCCGACCCAAACCTAACCCCAAATGAACCCCGAATGAACCCCAGAAGCTGGCCCTAAACCTGACCAAAACCAAACCTAAAACCAACCCTAAACCAAACCTAAACCAAACCTAAAACATCCTAAAACATCCTAAAACCAAACCTAAACCAAACCTAAAACCACACCTAAATCAACCCTAAGGGAGCCTTAAACAAACCCTAAACCTCACCTAAATCAACCCTGAACCATCAGACTTCCAACATCATATGCGACACACACTTTCGTGAAACCCCACAGCCTCGCCGGAAACACGCGACACCTCCTGAAACCACGCAGCCTTTCCTGAAACCACGCAGCTTTTCCTGAAACCACGCAGCTTTCCTGGAACCACCCCAGACTTTCCTGACACCACCAAACCTCTCCTGAAACCACTTCCTGAAACAACCACCCAGCCTGAAGCCACACAGCCTCTCCTGAAACCACCTAGTCTTTCCTGCAGCCACCCGGCGCCTCCTTTCCTGAATCCATACACACTTCCGTGAAACCACACAGCCTCGCTCAGCCTTTCCTGAAACCACCCGGCACCTCCTGAAACCACACAGCCTTTCCTGAAACCGTCCAGTCAACCCTAAACCGACCCTAAACCAACCCTAAACCGACCCTAAACCAACCCTAAACCGACCCTAAACCAACCCTAAACCAACCCTAAACCGACCCTAAACCAACCCTAAGCCAACCCTAAATTAACCTTAAACCAACCCTAAACCAACCCTAAACCGACCCTAAACCCCCAAAACCAACCCTAAACCAACCCTAAACCGACCCTAAACCCACCCTAAACCGACCCTAAACGAATCCTAAACCAGCCCAAACCAACCCTCAAACAACGCTAAAACCCTAAAACCACCCTAAACGGACCCTAAACCAACCCTAAACCAACCCTACACCAACCCTAAACCGACCCTAAAACAACCTCTAAAACCACCTAAACCAAACCTAAAACCAACCCTAAGACAAACCTAAACCAAACCTAAAACCACACCTAAATCAACCCAAAGGGAGCCTTAAACAAACCCTAAACCTCACCTATATGCGACACACGCTTTCGTGAAACCCCACACAGCCTCGCCGGAAACCACACGACACCTCCTGAAACCACGCAACCTTTCCTGAAACCACGCAGCCTTTCCTGAAACTACGCAGCTTTTCCTGCAAACACCCCAGACTTTCCTGACACCAACAAACCTCTCCTGAAACCACTTCTTGAAACAACCACCCAGCCTGAAGCCACACAGCCTCTCCCGAAACCACCTAGTCTTTCCTGAAACCACCCGGCGCCTCCCTTCCTAAATTCATACACACTTCCGTGAAACCACACAGCCTCGCTCAGCCTTTTCTGAAACCACCCAGCACCTCCTGAAACCACACAGCCTTTCCTGAAACCGTCCAGTCTTTCCTGAAACCACCAATCACTCTTTCATGAACCGCCCCAGCCTTTCCTGCAACCACAGACCTCTAAACCAACCCTAAACCGACCCCAAACAAACCCTAAACCAACCCTAAACCAACCCTAAACCAACCCTAAACCAACCCTGAACCAAACCTGAACCAAAACCGACCCTAAACCGACCCTAAACCAACCCTAAACCAACCCTAACCAACCCTAAACCGACCCTAAACCAACCCTAAACCAACCCTAAACCAACCCTAAACCAACCCTAAACCGACCCTAAACCGACCCTAAACAAACCCTAAACCAACCCTAAACCAACCCTAAACCAACCCTAAACCAACCCTAAACCAACCCTAAACCGACCCTAAACCGACCCTAAACCAACCCTAAACCAATCCAAAACCAACCCACACCAACCCTCAAACAACCCTAAAACCAACCCTAAACCGACCCTAAACCGAACGTAAACCAACCCTAAACCAACCCTAAACCAACAACCTCTAAAACAACCTAAACCAAACCTGAAACATCCTAAAACCAAAGCTAAACCAAACCTAAAAAAACACCTAAACAACCCTTAACCATCAGACTTCCAACATCATATGCGACACACACTTTCGTGAAACCCCACAGCCTCGCCGGAAACCACGCGACACCTCCTGAAACCACGCAGCCTTTCCTGAAACCACGCAGCTTTTCCTGAGACCACGCAGCTTTTCCTGGACCACCCCAGACTTTCCTGACACCACCAAACCTCTCCTCAAACCACTTCCTGAAACAACCACCCAGCCTGAAGCCACACAGCCTCTGCTGAAACCACCTAGTTTCCTGAAACCCCCGGCACCTCCTTTCCTAAATTCATACACACTTCCGTGAAACCACACAGCCTCGCTCAGCCTTTTCTGAAACCACCCAGCACCTCGTGAAACCACACAGCCTTTCCTGAAACCGTCCAGTCTTTCCTGAAACCACCAATCACTATTTCATGAACCGCCCCAGCCTTTCCTGCAACCACAGACCTCTAAACCAACCCTAAACCGACCCCAAACAAACCCTAAACCAACCCTAAACCAAACCTAAACCAAACCTAAAACCACGCCTAAATCAACCCTAAGGGAGCCTTAAACAAACCCTAAACCTCACCTAAATCAACCCTTAACCATCAGACTTCCAACATCATATGCGACACACACTTTCGTGAAACCCCACAGCCTTGCCGGAAACCACACGACACCTCCTGAAACCACGCAGCCTTTCCTGAAACCACGCAGCCTTTCCTGAAACCACGCAGCTTTTCCTGGAAACACCCCAGACTTACCTGACACCAACAAACCTCTCCTGAAACCACTTCTTGAAACAACCACCCAGCCTGAAGCCACACAGCCTCTGCTGAAACCACCTAGTCTTTCCTGAAACCACCCGGCACCTCCTTTGCCCAAGTGCTCTTAGACAATGATGACGACATCGACACCAACCCTGGGGATGTACGGGGACATCGTGTTGTCCGAAAGCCGAAGTACACTCAGAAGGTTGCTGCACCTGTTGGATACAGCGGGGTGAGATGGCTGGTAGATACTGGTTCAACAGACACACTTCCGTGAAACCACACAGTCGCTCAGCCTTTTCTGAAACCACCCGGCACCTCCTGAAACCACACAGCCTTTCCTGAAACCGTCCAGTCTACCACCAATCACTCTTTCATGAACCTTCCCAGCCTTTCCTGCAGCCACAGACCTCCTAAACCAACCGTAAACCGACCCTAAACCAACCCTAAACCGACCCTAAACCAACCCTAAACCGACCCTAAACCAACCCTAAACCGACCCTGAACCAACCCTAAACCAACCCTAAACCAACCCTAAACCAACCCTAAACCAACCCTAAACCAACCCTAAACCAACCCTAAACCGACCCTAAACCGACCCTAAACCAACCCTAAACCAACCCTAAACCAACCCTAAACCGACCCTAAACCCACCCTGAACCGACGACCCTAAACCGACCCTAAACCAATCCTAAACCCAAACCAACCCTCACACCACGCTAAAACCACCCTAAAACCACCCTAAACGGACCCTAAACCGACCCTAAACCAACCCTAAAACAACCTCTGAAACCACCTAAACCAGACCTAAATCATCCTAAAACCAAACCTAAACCAAGCCTAAAACCACACCTAGAGCCTTAAACAAACCCTAAACCTCACCTAAATCAACCCTTAACCATCAGACTTCCAACATCATATGCGGCACACACTTTCGTGAAACTCCACAGCCTCGCCGGAAACCACGCGACACCTCCTGAAACCACGCAGCCTTTCCTGAAACCACGCAGCTTTTCCTGGAAACACCCCAGACTGACACCAACAAACCTCTCCTGAAACCACTTCTTGAAACAACCCACACAGCCTCTCCTGGGGCCACCTAGTCTTTGCTGAAACCACCCGGCACCTCCTTTCCTAAATTCACACACACTTCCGTGAAACCACACAGCCTCACTCAGCCTTGTCTGAAACCACCCAGCACCTCCTGAAACCACACAGCCTTTCCTGAAACCGTCCAGTCTTTCCTGAAACCACCAATCACTCTTTCATGAACCGCCCCGGCCTTTCCTGCAACCACAGACCTCTAAACCAACCGACCCTAAACCAACCCTAAACCAACCCTAAAACAACCTCTAACACCACCTAAACCAAACCTAAAACATCCTAAAACCAAACCTAAACCAACCTAAAACCACATCTAAATCAACCCTAAGGGAGCCTTAAACAAACCCTAAACCTCACCTAAATCAACCCTTAACCATCAGACTTCCAACATCATATGCGACACACACTTTCGCCTCCTGAAACCACGCAGCCTTTCCTGAAACCACGCAGCTTTTCCTGGAACCACCCCAGACTTTCCTGACACCACCAAACCTCTCCTGAAACCACTTCTTGAAACAACCACCCAGCCTGAAGCCACACAGCCTCTGCTGAAACCACCTAGTCTTTCCTGAAACCACCCGGCACCTCCTTTCCTAAATTCATACACACTTCCGTGAAACCACACAGCCTCGCTCAGCCTTTTCTGAAACCACCCAGCACCTCGTGAAACCACACAGCCTTTCCTGAAACCGTCCAGTCTTTCCTGAAACCACCAATCACTCTTTCATGAACCGCCCCAGCCTTTCCTGCAACCACAGACCTCTAAACCAACCCTAAACCGACCCTAAACAAACCCTAAACCACCCTAACCAACCCTAAACCAACCCTAAACCAACCCTAAACCAACCCTAAACCAACCCTAAACCAACCCTAAACCGACCCTAAACCGACCCTAAGCCGACCCTAAACCAACCCTAAACCAACCCTAAACCAACCCTAAACCGACCCTAAACCAACCCTAAACCAACCCTAAAACAACCCTAAACTCTAAACCAACCCTAAACCAAACCTAAAACATCCTAAAACCAAACCTAAAACCACACCTAAATCAACCCTGAGGGAGCCCTAAACAAACCCTAAACCCCACCTAAAGCAACCCTAAACCATCCTCTTTCGTGAAACCACACAGCCTCGCCGGAAACCACACGGTCTTTCCTGAAACCAGAGGGCACCTCCTGAAACCACCCAGCCTTTCCTTGAAACCACCCAGCCGTTCCTGAAATCGCACAGCCTCCCCTGAAACCAGCACCCAGTCTTTCCTGCAACTACAGAGCCTTCCCGGAAACCACGCAGCCTTTCCTGGAGCCACCCCAGACTTTCCTGACACCACCACACCTTTCCGAAAACCACCACCCAGTCTTTCATGAAACACATAGCCTTTCCTGAAACCGCCCAGTCTTTCCTGAAACCAGCACCCAGCCGAAAACCATCCAAGCTTTCCTGAAACCGCCCAGCCTTTCCTGCAACCACACAGCCTTCTCCACGTAGCCTTTCCTGCACCCCAGACTTTCCTGACACCACCAAACCTCTCCTCAAACCACTTCCTGAAACAACCACTCAGCCTGAAGCCACACAGCCTCTGCTGAAACCACCCAGTTTCCTCGGCACCTCCTTTCCTAAATTCATACACACTTCCGTGAAACCACACAGCCTCGCTCAGCCTTTTCTGAAACCACCCAGCACCTCGTGAAACCCACACAGCCTTTCCTGAAACCGTCCAGTCTTTCCTGAAACCACCAATCACTATTTCATGAACCGCCCCAGCCTTTCCTGCAACCACAGACCTCTAAACCAACCCTAAACCGACCCCAAACAAACCCTAAACCAACCCTAAACCAAACCTAAACCAAACCTAAAACATCCTAAAACCAAACCTAAAACCACGCCTAAATCAACCCTAAGGGAGCCTTAAACAAACCCTAAACCTCACCTAAATCAACCCTTAACCATCAGACTTCCAACATCATATGCGACACACACACTTTCGTGAAACCCCACAGCCTCGCCGGAAACCACACGACACCTCCTGAAACCACGCAGCCTTTCCTGAAACCACGCAGCCTTTCCTGAAACCGCCCAGCCTTTCCTGCAACCACACAGCCTTCTCCACGTAGCCTTTCCTGGAACCACCCCAGACTTTCCTGACACCACCAAACCTTTCCTGAAACACCGCCCAGTCTTTCATGCAACACACAGCCTGTCCTGAAACCACCCGGGCTTTCCTGGAACAACCCGGCATCTCCTGAAACCACCGAGCTTTTCCTTTCGTGAAACGACTGCCAGCCAGGTCTCGATTCCACCGAAACACGGTACCTGATCCGAGGTAGCTGACCCAGGTACCTGATTCAAGCCTTGGGGTATCTGACTCGACCAACTCCCCTAGGAGGAGCAAGGCGCCAAGATGAATGCCCGACGCCACCAAAAGACACCCATAGGGGAGGGACTACCATAAAGCGATTTGATGACGGTTGTGTCAAGTTACAAATGATACGGACCCCCTCCCCAAGAAAGAAAGAAGCAGCTTTTTTGTTCCGGGCAATCCAAAGGTTTTAACTGTCTGGGGGAAGCAAAAAGCAATCCAAAGCAATGCATCTCAAACTGGGTGCTTCTTGCAATGTGGTTCCCGGGGTTTGTCAAAAGCCTTCCTTGCTGGCAATCATCCCCTTTGGGGCTGAAAGGAAAACCCAAGGAACACAAGCCCATCTCGGGGGTTCAGCACACACAACGTGCCCCTAAAAATAGAAACAACGAAAAAATACAACAAACAAACCTACACATGGATGCTGTCCTGGGCAAATCCAAGCACGTTTAGGGTAAGTCCCTATTTTGACGCATACCCATACAACACCTCAGCCACAAGAATGTCTGCAAGAGACTGGCAACACGCCGTGGATTTTGTCCATCAGCCCGCTGGATCCCAGTGTTCCTTGTAACCCCGTCGCCATTTTCCTCGTGAAAGGGTGGTTCTGAGTGCGTACTATGAAGGGGTTGTTTGGTTTACTGGGCTAAGGTTGACGAAATATGAGGTACGGGGCCTGGAATTTGGAATCCTCAACTCAGCTGCCCCTGTGGGGACCCCGAAAAAGGTGAAAACCTTTTGAGGCCACTCAAAATGGCACCCTCAAAAACCTGTCAACCAAAAAGGCCTTCAGACCGAACACCCCAAAGCGGTGCCGCGTGCCGAGTGGCGTGGCATCCACGGCGTTGGCCATGAGGTGGATCCAGCCCTTTGAGCTGGAGCCGTCGGATTCACCTAGGACGCCCCTAGGGGCTGCAGGTCTTTAGGTCTGTGGGTCTTTCTGGTGGCTCTGGGGCGTTTCTGGCTTGTAGCTTGGTGTAGGTTTCTGAGGGTGTTTGTAGGCGGTGGTTTGATGGGTGTCGTGCTTGTAGTCGCTTTGGTGAGAAGTTGTTTGTGTTTCCTGATTTGAAAATCGACGCTAACAACATATTACGAATACGTGCCCTGGAGAAAAACAAGAAACACAACAAAACAAAACGCAGTGACGTGCTAGATTCCCTTTAACACCGACAAGGGAAATTCACCGAGAATTCCAACTTTGCAAGTGAGGCTCTCCAGCGCTCCAAGCTGAAAAGCTGACCCCGCAACACTGCCTCCGTGCGTTCCCGCTGTTGCTCGTCGAAGGTGGGAAGCTCCTCGTCAACTGGGTGCGTGCGTCGTTTTCGAGGGTGCCACTTTTTTGCGGTTCTAAACGGAAACGAAGAGAAAAGCCACAAAGGTTGGTGGGGTGGTAGTAAGAAGACACACCCATTTAGGTTGTTCAAAAGGCTTCACACGGCCCCAGTTCAGGCTCCCACACTTGACAAACCCATATGGAAGAGTGTGCCCTTGTTTGGTTGTATTGAAGGGAAACAAAAGTGAAGCCACTAACGTTGGAGATTCTGAGATTCCCCCTTTTAAGACAGGACCCATTTCCCCAGTTCCCCATATCCCCAAAGCAAAATCGAATTCCTCATCTACATTTTGAGACAAATCTATCTCCCTAAGCTAGACCTTATAATGTCCCATTTTCCCACAATCATGGAAGTGGAAACTAATGATTGTCGGAAAGAGGGTAGAGCGGAAGAAAGAGTACCCTGTCGGGATTTACCGGGCAACCTCCCAGTGTCATACACTTGACAGTAGAGAGGCGAAAATTCACCATTGCTCATACAAAGCCTATCAACCAATGAGGGCGTGTTGGAAAGAGGGCTTCCTCACCAACCCGCCTCGAAAAGGCTCATGGCCTTCTTGGACAACCACTGGATGTCTTCCTCTGCAGTGTGGCAGTGCTTTCGTAGGTCGTGGACGTCCACGTGGCCCTCACGTTGCCACGCCCTTTTCTCGAGCCCCAACCTATTGTTTGGACCCAAAACCTGCAGGTGGGTAGAGAGTCAGATCAAGGGCTGTGGGGTTCGGAAAACAGGGTCCCCCCAGAGGGGGTTTAAAAAATTATCCCGGCAAGAGACCCCAAATAGTATTGCATCCAACTTGACGACAGGTGGCCCAGAAGCATAGAAAAACGTTAAATAAACACTGACGCCTCTCCCACCTGATGAGATCGTAAACACGTCGATACCCTGCTCAAGCGTAGATTCTGTTGAGCAAGCTCAGCATCATGCTTCACAATCTCTCCTGTCAACTTCTCGCGCGCGTGATGCTGTGGCTTGATGTTGCGCGCGAAGCTGTGCGTGATGTTGCGCGTGATGTTGCGCGCGATGTCGCATGACGTTGCGCGAAATGCAGCGTATGATGCTGCGCATGATGTTCTGCAACCTCTCTTGCCAAATCTTTCATGTCCTCAATTGAAAAACTCTCTTGTCCATATCTGTGAGCAGCTGCTGGCAATTTTAGCTGCGGAAGTGTACTTCGCATACTACCTGAACCGCGCGAGCGCGCTTCGCGCGCACGTTGCCATTTACGATTTTGCAGCCGAAGCTTCGGGAATGCGCTTTGTGTACAACTTTGGACTTGAGAGTTGCGAGCCTCGTGCCATGGGAACGCACTTCGTACACTCATACAAAGTTGCAACTTTGCAGCTGGAGCTCCGGAGCGCACTTCGCGTAGGACTTTTGCACTCGGGAGTGCACTTCAAGTACTACTCTTGTACTTAAAATTGCGATTTTGCAAGCCGGAGCTCTGGAGTGCTCTTCGCGTACTACTTTTGCACTTGAAACTTGCGAGCTTTCAGCCGGAGTTGAGGGAATGTCCTCCGCAAACTACTTTTGTACCTAGAAGTTGCGAATTTCGAGCCGGAGCTGCGGGAGTGCACTTCGCGTACTACTTTTGAACTTAAAATTGCGATTTTGCAGCCGGAGCTCCGGAGTGCTCTTCGCGTGCTACTTTTGTACATAA